AGAAAACCAGAAGAAAGACCTAGTAGAGAGGTCAGATTCCACTAGCAAGACGACGTGGTTCCCAATACAGCAGCCACATTATCTGAATGGTTTATGTGTAATCTGGAGAGATCCTAGACATGGCAGCAATTTTTTGACCCATTATAACAATGAGATCTTTCCCAGGTCAGTAAGACCCATCCAGCACAGCACTTTTCAGGCAACAGCAGCCAAAACTGGATGCTTAGGAAAAACATGAAACTGACAGAGAAGTGAACTGTAACTGCTCTGTGCTGTAAACTAACACTGTATATTAACACTGTCACTCAAAGAAGCCATCCCACCCTCTCCTGGTGCTGGCATCAGGGTGTGCCTGTGACAGTGAGCTGGCTCAGGAAGGTGAACTGGCCAAAGGAGGAAGCTTCTCCCCTCCTGCTGTGCTGGCAGGCAGCAGGACCCAGGAGCACCAGTGTGCAACCAGGGCTGGGTTAAATCCTGATGGAAGCACAGCAGTGAGACACTAGGTGATCCTTCTCTGGAAGGACTTTACCTGCAGCACCACTTCAGGGGTTTCCTCAGTTGGCTGTGGCACCACAGCCACTCAGCATGATGGATCAGTGCAGTTATAACTTTATGCTGCATAACAGTGCTAACCACAATGGTAATTTGTGATTTTGAAAAGGCAGCCCATAATAAAAATAAACATTAAGCATTGTTTTGGTATGCTATTATTTCAATGACCTTTCAGTTCTGTTTCAAAACTTCCAAGTTTATCACCAACTGGCAGTTACATGCTTTTCATTAACCCTGCAGTTTACTAACATGAAGAGGCACAGAGGAGATTTCAGGACATCCATCTAGGCATTCTCTCAGCTTATATAAACTTTAAACACCAAGCAACTCTGGTGGGTGAAACTGATGTACCAATTAATGTAACTGTGCTCTTGAATGTGCAATTCCTCCACGAGAAAACCACCTATCAGGACTTAACTTCAGAGGCACCTGCTCTGTTTTCTGTATCAGCTGATGTTGTACATAATAATGCTCCCATCAAAATGTATATTGCCCATCAAAGTCTGTGTTTCTGTAGAGATACTCATTCATGCACATGATGATGCAATATAGAAACTTTGTTCTGGCAATATTTTAGCTTTAAGGACTGCACAAAACTCACATTAGTATTACCTTCTGTGCACAAGGGAACACTCAGTCTCCCCCAGTAAGCACTCTACACAACACATACATTAAGCTCCCTTGGAAAGTAAGAAAGGTTTGGGGTTTTTTCCATCTTTAAGGTTTTGCAAATCACTGTGTCTCATGTATTCTTCATTCTAGTCTTGCACTTCTAAAAGTTCAGGACTGTCTCACTCAATTGATCCAGGCCAACTCCACAGCAGTCTCAGCTTGAACAGCAATACCTGGTTTTTACCTCCATCCTCAGCTCACCAGCTTTTGTCAAATCTAAGCCTGGGGACCTGGCACCTAGGTCAAGCCATACCAAGGTCACACAGAACTTCTTCAGCTCATATGGTGCCAGTCTGGGGACAGCAGCACGTGGCTTGCTGATTTTGAGGTACACCTATGCATTTCCTCACTAATTCTTTCAAGCTGTTCTTTAAAATCATCAAGTTTCACGAGCTGTCTCCAAAGACTTGGCCAGCGAAAGGGCAAGACCTTGAACCCCTCCTGCAGCAGAGCTCCCCATGGCCAGGCAGGACTGAATGGCACCAAAGAAGTCCTGATGGGTTGATCCCAGCATTGTGTGTCTCCTCCTTGCACAGCCCTGCACAAGCTGGGGGAGAAGACCCCAGGTGAGCAGCCGAGGGCAGGTTCTCCCTGCCTTCACAGAGCAGGGTGGGGAATCTCAGCACAGTCTTCAGGGGGATACACCTTGGCTTTTACCTTCTAAGACAGAACTGGTATAAATTGATGCAAGTAAATGAGATTATGCTGCGTCTTTTAAAGAAGCTTATGTCTTTTATGAATTCTTGGGTATTTTTTTTACACTATGGAAGCTGAATTCCGCTATACAGCTGTCAGGTTGATTTTAAAATTTCCTTGCAAAAAGTCATGATTACTTATTTACTTACTCTTTATATTGCTCTGTGAAAGCAAGACCTAATGGTCTGGCTGGAAACAACAAAAAATACCTACATGAATATACATTTTGTCATTAGGAACTAGTTACATCCAAGTGCCACTTACTAACCGGTCTGTAATTATTAAAATATCCTCTAGGACCTCAGCTGTCCCTAGGATAGAACATTTCTTGCCTTCCTCCTTTTTATTTAGGGGATTTTCTGTTTCATGGCTCCAAGTTGCACACCTTTAATGCACAGGACCAAAACAAGACTGCCATTACCGGGGTAAGTCCTTACAGAGTTTCCCTGTAACAAACCCACACTACAGCTCTGAACAGGGTATTTTAGAGAGACTTAAAGCAAAGGAAAAGGAATTTCATGTATGAATTGCTGAGAAACACTTTACCATAACTGTAATCTGAATTCTATCATGTAATGAGATTTTTTTTTTCTTGGAATTATGTTTATGCTTTCATTTGTCTTCCTCTGAGCATCCCCTCAAAAGCACACAGAAAAGAGACTCAGCAGTAAAAAACACAAAATCAAGTGGTAGTGCCAAAATGGCCAAGCCAGCACACACAGAGGACAATCACTGCCATTCCCAGAGGTAAGACCTCTGATGTGCAGCACCAGAGCAGAACCCAGAACAGCACCGTGTGCAGTGCATGGCAACCACGGCTTTCCAGTGAATGGCACCTCAGGCCAGCCCCAGACAGGACACAAGGGCTGTGTACATGAGGAAGCCATTTCCCTGCCCTCCAGCATGGGTGCAGCCCTCAGACACCACGTGAGGGACGGGCCATGGAGGAAGACACGCAGCCATTCTCTCCTCCTCCTCACAGGCTCCTGTGAGATAACCCAGTGTGCCTTGCCAGGGCAGCATCATGGCAGTGCTGAGTCAAAGGTGCTGGTCCTGGAAAGGAGACACCTCCAAAATCAACACCCAGTGCTTCCCAGCTGGCAGGGCAGGGCTGCACCGGAGGGAAAAGACAGGCTCTGCTGCAGGGAACAGCTGCTACAGGGACTGTGAATCTTCCATTAAACCGTGCAAGACACTTCATAGATCTTAATGTAATTTTAGTAAAACACAGTGAAAAACACCATGATTGGTATTATCTGCTCATACACCCACAGTGCTGGAGGAGGGGGCTGTTAAAAAGAAGAAACAGAAATTGCAGGAGTCCTTCACACCAATACATCAGGCAGCTAGAACCGTACACACCTCATCTGCTTTTGTGAACATCCATTTGCACATACAAGGATCTTGCACTAATTTGCAGGTTCTCACCAGGAATAATAAAAATCTGGCTTCAAGTATAGTTTAACTGCAGGAGGCACAGCAAGCAGCAGCAGTTAGAAACATTAGTTGTATAATCACAAGACATACTGTGCAGTTTACCTATTTTGACCTTGAGATGGCAGAGAAAGAAAAGGTAGCAAGGCAAGTACTATATGGTCCAGCTACTACGAAGATACAACACAGAACTGAAAGTGAGAACAGCGATTGAACAATTAATAGATTCTCCTTCTGGCCCTGCATCTGCTGCAAATGCTGCTGTGCCTCATTTACTGTGCTGCTTAAACATGTCAAGGCAGAGCAGAAGGAAGAAGAGCAAAATAACTGAAGGAAAAAGAATAGGAATATGCAGATGAAAGTCAATTTGTAATGATGAAGCAGGAGGGGAGGAAGAAATGGAACAGAAAGAGAAAGAATCATCGTTGGGACCATTTCTTTTTTTTTTCTTTTAAAGACGTGTGACCAGAGGACAGAATTTTACATGCAGTTATTTTCCTGAAGACTGGCAGCAGAACTTCTGCTGGTTGATGCCACTGCCTTAGCCAGAGCACTGCATTCTACAGCCCAGGCCTGTGCTTGTTAGCTTGAGCCTTCTCCAGTTCCCCTCATCTCTAGGATGACCACGTGGCTATTAGGCAGAGCTATAGTTTACTCATATTACAATTAAACTACAGGAAAGCATGTAAGCATGCAAGGGAAGTGATGGTCTAGCTGCTACATAACTGCAGCCACAGAACAACGCACAAAAAAACCCCATGAGTTCAATCTTGTTGTGCCATCGACCACGTTTCACATATTTAGAAGCATGCAAATAGGTTTAAATCATATCCACACACACCCCTCTCGCTTTCTCTGGATGCGTGAAACCTGAAAGACCACAAGCTACACAAAAAAACAAGAACAAAACCCCAGCCGAATGGGCGTTTATCCGGAATGGTGAGTGAAAGGCAGCGAGGGAGAGCCCAGACGGGCTCGCTGTCCCTCTGCGCTCCCTCCTGCAGCCCCAGCAGCCTCTGACACGGCACAACATCGCCCAGCTGCCCCCAGAACGGGGCAAGCACGGCTCTGCACACGCAGGGCTGCGGGGTCCAAGCTCTGTCCTGGCTAAGCCCGGCTTTTCCCGGCGCTGCTCCCGGGAGCTGCCCTGGAGGCTCCAGCTCACACACAGCTCTGCGGACACGACACGGAAAAACCATCCGTAGGTACTTCCAGGCAAAATGAAAAGTAGCTGCACTTTAGGCATACTTTAAAAGAAACATAGAATAACCCTGTGTGACACATTGTTCCCGAAAATCATTCACCTCAGTCACAAAAAATACTTTGTACTTACAGAATTTAACACCTCTAGCAAACAGTTGCTGCAATCAGATTCTTTGTTAGTAAAAATTCGGTTAACCAGTTACAGCATTAATCAGTCCGAAGCTAACTATTAGGGATGTTTCAAAAAGAGCATACTAAATAACAGGGAGGAAAAAAAGCCAAATAATACTGTAACTATTAGATTTTAGTTGATAAAAAAACAAAAACAACTTAATAAATTATTCCATGCAGAATCAAAACAATTTCAACAAAATGTTCTTCAATAAACACAGTAATTCAAATGTCAGCCATACATCTTTTAATTAGCTTTTATCAATACTTACCTATGTTTTTCTAATTCGTTGTGTGATGACCTATTAAAAAGAGAAAAGAAATATTAGAGAAAGGATAAATAAACCAAGATTTAGAATACTTAAAAGACAATAACTGCATAAGTTGCTAAAGAGTTCTCTAAAATACGTATTTAACATGGATTATGAAACAGATTTTCTATTAAATTGGTCACTTTTAGATTCTTCAGGGTATCAACTTAATTTCCATGAATAAACTGTAGGTTTGGGGGGAATTATAATATATTTGCATTTATTAGGGTTCAATACATTCAGAGACAGAAATGAACATAAAAAACTGAGCAGGTTAGTAATAAAAACAGCCCACGAGAATTTTATCGGTGAAGAAAAATTATGAGGGGGCAAGAAAGTGTTCAAAGATCTAAATGGTAACAGGTAAGAGCAAAAAGCACCCAAAAAGCCAGCTTTAAAGCCCACGGAGAAGCAGAAAGAAAAGGCAGCAGCTAATCACTGCTTTTGTTGTTGTTGACATCTTAATGGCAACAAAAGAGGAATCTTCTTAATTCTTCTCAGTCTACAAACAGAAAATAAAACCCAAAAAATCACAGTCCCTGTACTGACCACAGCACTATGTTATCCTCTTCCAATCTACTTGGATTAGAGATTTTTTTTCTTATCCAACTAATGCCTCGGGTTTTTTGCCATTAGAAGGCAGCCCTAAATTCTTGGAGGATTTTTTTTAACTGATTCAGCTAAAAATATTCATTTTATTTATTTACACAGCTTAGATTAAAAACATTCCTAAAATGAAGTTACTGTCACCACTTCAGAACCAGCAATTTTCCGTACTTTCAGTTTTGTCCCGCTGAAAACATGCCCAGCACGTAAGGATCAAAAGATGCAGAGGCGGTGGCAGCTCAGGGCTGGCAGATTATGTCAGAGCAGCTCTGCTGGAGCCTGCTGCAACCCCAGCCTGCAGCTGGGCACGGGGTGCAGAGTGAGGTGCTTTTGTGGAGGGCAAGTGCACAGAGCCTCCAGGGAGCAGAGACATCCCAGGGGGATCAGGGAGCCTTCCTGAACAAATGCTGCCGAGCTGTCCTGTCCCCGCACACCCCTGAGCTGATGGATGCTGGACCTGGTGTGACTGATGGCAGAACATCACTCCCCACAGAGAGGGGAAGAAGAAAGCAAAGCTCACACAAGAAACATTCAGTGAACAAACCCACGAGCAATTGATCTCAGGCCAGTACAGCCCCTGATCCTGCAAGGAACTAAGTGAACTGCCCCTCTCTGCAGGTAAAACTGAAATGTGCACAAGGTTCAGCTAATCCACTCTCACCAGAAAGCATCCCAGTGTTGGTACCAAGACATGGATTATGTCAACCATTACCTGTCATCTTTTACTCAAAAGCTTATGCATTCTTTTTGTATTTTTTTTACACCTGTTGTGAGTGATCATGTGAGAGTCACGATCAAGTACAATGCCATTTAAGGGCTCCTGATCAAAGCAGCAATACTACAAGAGTTACACACATTTTCTGTGCTACATTAATAGGGCAAGGTGGGCTTGGTCATTTGACTATCTTAAGAGGATATTGTTTTTTATCTTGTACTGCTACTCTCTGCACAGAGATCAGACTTTCTTCACACCAGTGTTCACAAAAATTGACAAAGACAATGCTAAATCCACCAGTGTTTATGAAAACACATGGAAAACAGAAGTTCAGGAGGGAACCATTGTCCCTGAACACCCTCAACAGTCCTGTCAAAGGCACTGTTTGTAGGGAACTTTGGAACCAGAGAGGAAATACAGGCTGGCCTGGATTCATTCCTATGGCATGAACTCCTTGACATTTCTGGCAATTAGACACAAAGGTGAACACGATCACTCCAACTGGCCCATTCTGAGCTGCCAGCTCCCAGCAGCTCTGGAGCACACACGGGGACAGCACGGGAACCACTGGCCAAGGAATGCAGCCTGCACGGAGTACTGTGCTGGGCTGAGGGACGATGGCAGTCCTGCACTCAGCACACCCACAGGGCACCTGTGGTACCTGGAGGCTTTGCTGAGCTATGTCCTGCCAGAGCAGCTCTGGAGCAGCACAGCCGTGGGTGTGCCAGCTGTCAAACTGAGTGGCAGTGACCATGTGCCCCTTGGCAGAGCTCTTGGGGACACAAAAGCCTCGGCAACACCTGCAGTGTGCAAACGTGGGCACCAGCCACACATTTCAGGAGGTGTCCTGGGCTGACTAACAGTCCTGGGCTCAACTATCAGGCTCTAGGCAGAAACAAAAACCAAGAGTCCTGACATTTACCTGAGAATTGCTCCATCTACAGAGCAAGTGAAATATCCTATTACAAAGCACGACAGGGGTTTCTTTGGTTGGGTTTGTTTTCAGAAGAGATGAACCTCTCTCAAAATGGCTTTTATTTCCTTCACTGTCTACAGCATACTATATTGCAAGAATATCCATCTCCTGCTGTTTATGCAACCTAAAGTGAGGGAAAAAAACGTAAGAACTGGTCTCCACCCAACCCAGTACCCTGTTTCAAAATGGAGTCTTTTACTACTTTAGTAAAGAAAAGATGTAGGTCACAACTAATAAGATATATGTATATATGTATTTATACAAGAGAGACAGATATATGACTGGTTTGCAGGCAAATGGTCAGTGAAGGCTTTCAAAAATGGCTTCAAAAAAAGCAAGATTTCTGGTGTTTAACTTAGGTCACTCCACTGAGTTTGTATCTCCACAAAAAGCTTGGGGAAGTTGGGGATAGCAGTGAGGGAAAAAAAGGCAAAAAGGTTCAGATAAAAATAAAGGGAAAAAGCCAACAACAAAAAAATCTACAAAATCATAGATTCAGAAGGAAGGGATAATGAACACTGGTGCTTAGACTACACTGTTGATCTGAGACAGCTCTAATATCCCTTTAGCAAATGCCAAGCAGTTCACTGACTATAAAATTTATTTGTGAAGAAATTGTTAAAAGAAGAATTGAAAGAACAAGGAGGAGCCAAGCAAATGCAGCCATTGGTCTGCAAGATGCTGTGCTACTTCTCACAGGACACCCCCAGAGCCATCCCCATCAAGCATCTTCCTTTCCCAAACAAGGATTCTAGGTATTGGATTTCAGCTTTTGGTTGATTCAACATTCAGCAGACACACCTAAGAATTTGGACAGGTGCTAACTGAGATGGCAAGACTAACACAGAAAAGGCAAAGGTCCCTCCACGTCTGCTGCTGCCAGTTTATGGGTGAGCCAGCAGGATCTACTCACACACACGCTAGATTGAGATTTCACTGTGTGTGTGATGCACAGCCTGTTCCCGTATTCAGACACCTTCCCTACTCCTCCATCCATCTACCCCTCCAGACGGGGCATCTGCTCAGCAGGAAGCCAGCAGCTCCTGACAAGAGCAGGGATGTGTGGCAATGCTGCTGACATTTATTGCCCTGTGTTAATGGGAGCAGGTCTAGACCGTGACTCACCATTAAGATTCCAGTTGCCAACACAGTTTAAAGCTCTACAGGGAGCAAAGCAGGGTAGTTAACCAAGTGCTTGAAGCAGTGGCAGCACCTTACCAGTGCCAGGGCTTTCTGGTGCAGGCAGGACTCTCTGGGTGTTATACAACCCGTGTGCAGGATACAGCTCCACCTCAGGTCGTGCAGCCATGTGAACTACACTGCCAGCACTTCACCTTTTGTCCAGGCCAAAAGAGTAAGAACAAACACAACAAGAAGCTTTACAAGGTGTTACACCTTAAGTGTCTGCATCCAGTTCCCACTCCTAGAAGTGCAGGTGTGTAAAAGCTTACACCTGCAGTCTTGTGTGAATGAGACTGCTGTGCAGCTTTTCATTGAAAGGATCCAGATTCACTTCCAGGAAATTCCCTGTCCACATACCTAACCTGCTGTGGAATGCACCTGAAACTACTACAGTTCATCCCACAAAGCACAGATAAACCTGAACATAAGCACACGTTCTCCCTATTATTTACTGGTTTTGGGTTGTTGGTTTTTTCCCTATTGTTTCAAACTGGACACATTGCTTACAGCCTGTCAAAGAAACAGCCTGTAGAGAATTAATCCACTAAAAATTAATTTTGCATTCTCCTCATAGCAAAATGTAACCGGTTCTACAGATTCAGCTGGGATCTGGGAACCAGGCATACTGGCACAGCCTTGATGCAGAGTTCTGGCTCCAGGATCACATTCAAGCTGGTGCTGCCACATGTTTGCAGTGGCCAGGTCTGAACGTGCTTCTAATACGGTGGCAATTTGTTTTCCTCAATTGCACAAGCAGTGCAGCTCCCAAACATCACAGACCTACTGCAGTTCCTTAGGGGGGACAGGTCTGTTGGTGAAATCTGTTATATTGGGATTAAAATGCACTATTTTGAAACCAAATGTGGTGATATCAACTCCTGTCCTAGCTTTAGGAAGCCAAACTGAGAAAGATCTATCAAATTCAGAAATCCAGGTGAAAATTCCGAGGAGCTGTGTCTGCACAGTCTGCTTTGCAGTGTTTTATTCTTGGCCTCTCAAAAAAAAAAAAAATTAAGGAAAAATAGAATAAAAATCGGGCCCTGATCCCTAAGCTGCTTAGTGTGGGCACAGAAAAACATCTGCAGAGAGCAAGGGGCTCGCTCTGCGGGCCACAGGTTCATCCTCACCATGAGCCAACATCAACAGAGGAATTTGGACATTAGGCTCTGTTTTTATTTGAAAATCCAAATGCTGCTTTCATCTTTTTCTGCATATAACCCTTTGCCAGAACACAGCACGAAGTACATGTCTATTTATGTAACATATGAGCAAAAATATTAATTAATTAATAGACACAGAAGATATATTTATAAACCGGCATTTATTTTGCTCCCTCTCCTTCAATAAACCAGCTCCTAAATTAACAGGCCAAACACACTGCACCACCGACATTCAATTCCTTTCTCTGAAAGTAAATTTAACTGTGACCTCAGTAGACAGGCATCTAACACTAAGATTTTCGTTTTCATTTTACCTTATTTCTCACCCTTTCATGAAGCAGCTGCCTGAGCTCCCTGGTGCATGGGCAGACACACACCTCAAACCCACACACAGCTCAAGGTACCCAACACCTGGTGAGTGTCACTGCAGCCAGGGCAGAAGAAAGCCCAGTCATCTGCAGGATTGCATGTTCCTCTCTCAGAGTGCTTTGCCTTATGAGCAAACGTCACCAAATTTCAGATTTGTGTCGCATTCCTCCTTGGCACATCGCACATGTCACCTATCTGTTTCTTCGGAGCAAAAACCAAGCTTGACTTTTGAATATTTGCTATTAACATTTCCAAGGTACAACAGCAATAAATCCAGCTGTTTATTTCATGCTTTTTTTAAAATTCGAAGTACACTTTAAAATAAGAATTATTAGACTGCATGGAACTGCTTTAGGAACTACATACAGCCACTGCTCTGCGGAGACATTTATTATACCATAGTCAAGAACCTGATAAGTATTATTGTAACAAGATGTGACCTAGGTTTACCTCCCTGCAAAAGATAATATTGTGGCTTTCTCTAATCTCCTGTCCTCTTCACAAAACAAGAATCCAGTTTCATTTGCCAGAGGATTTTGGTCAAAATTACTGGGGGGAAACAAGTCTGAATCTCAGCTGAGGACATGGTACGAACAGCAAACCAGAAAGAAAACAAAGCAGTTTGGTTTGTGTGACATGGGAAAGGGCACATTACAGGAAACTGAGAAGAAAACATGTAAGATCAAGACATTTTAATGTGCAAGTGAAACAGAAATGGCTAAAAACTGTGCTTGATTGCTACCAATATCACCGAGAATATTGTTTAACAACAAACTGCTAACAACCACTTTCAATTTTGATACAAAGCTAACAGTGGACAAAGCGAAACTGTTAAAATTCCTACAGTGGATAGAAAGCTTATAGATTTTGATTAATTAAATGTAATTCTGCTGATATTTTTCCCTGCACAAATCGAAACCTGCCAAAATTTTTTTATTTCTCTCTCAATTGCAGACAAGAGGCCAGCAAGCTTTTAGCCCAGACCCGAGCATCCTGTCCGAAAAGCCAGCAGCCTCCTGCCCCTTCTCCTGTGGGTCTGGGCCTCGCCAGCCATCCACAAGGGATGGAGGTCTCATCCTACAGCTTCATATGTGAACATCACCTGCACCTCGGCAGAGCAAGGAAGGGTCCACCAGCGCCTTTGCTGAAGCCCAGGGCAGCTGGAATCGTTCCCTGCCTGTCACCCAGCCCGTGGTGCCTGGCCAGCACACCTGTGCTACACGGGGTAGGCTCTTCCCCCCACAGGCAAGCACATGGGGGGAAAACACAGAACAAAGAAGAAAGAATACAGCACACCAGGCTTCCTCACATCTGACAGTTTTTCTCCTCCTCCCCTCTTTTCTGATTTTCCAAGAATAAGGAGATGTTTTTCATGCTTTTATATATGTATAGCTCATAAGGCATGAAAAAAAGCCCAACGTATGTGCATATATACATCTCTCACTTTTTAATCTCATCAGATGCTGCAAGCAGCAGGATACAAAAATAGATAATGAAAACAACAATGCCCTGCAGATTTGAAATGTGCAGTTAGCTGCTCCTTTCCTACTCCTCCAACCTTAAGTATGTATTTTTAATCCAGAAAAACAATGAAATAATAAGACATGAATTTCAGACATGTATGCAATCCCCTGTATGCAATCAGATGCCTCCCTGCATCTAATGCTCCAAACCCAATGAGTCTGGAAAATGGTGAAAGTGGAACAATACAAACAAACACTTTGCTCGGTGGTTCACATCACCCACGACCACTCCAGATCCTCTCAACTTTGGCCAGTCGTCTCCCTCTGTTAATCTTTGAGTTGCTTAGGATGAATTAACTGTGTTTCCAAAATTTCACTCTAGTCTTGGGCTCGGCCCCTACAGCCTCTAAGCTCCAAATAATAATAAAAACAGTGATGCTGGTGTACATCATGTATTTTGCACTGCATATTTAAATGCAGGGGTAGTTTCTCCCCTGCAAATCTAAGTGTGCAGGCAGACATGAGCAGTGATCGCTGCACATGGGTACAAAGCCCATAAGGAAAATGCAGAGGTACCCACGGGGTCCTGCTGCTGCCCCTCTGTCCCTGAAGGAACAGGGAGCTGCATTAAAGCAATGTGCCTCTGATCCACACACCGGCCAGCAAGCCTGGAACCCGTGCTGAACCAAACCAGCCACGGTCCCGGCAGTGTCTGCACTGGAAGCCATTCCCTGACAAGCACTGTCCTGTCCTGTAACACAGACGACCCATCCCTCATCTCATCACTGCAGCTGGAAGAAAAGAAAGTGTGACTAAATGTACACATTGCAAGATGGGATTTTTGATGGTTGCCACTGCTACGGAGTGAGAATGAGAGCAAAACGCTGAACAGGTAAACAAATACAAATCTGCAGTCAACAAAAAAAACAAAGCAGGAAGGTAACTGCAAATGGATGTATGTGCCTCAACTTTAATAACACTAGCAAATCTGTAAATCAGAAACCTTTTAATTCTGCTGTATTTGATAGATTACAAATCCTCTCCTAAAAACTCCTGAAAGCAGCTTACAATTCAGACAAATAACTATTTTGCAGCGGATGACAAGAGCCCTAAGAACGGAAATGATGGAATAATAGCACTGTAAGTAACACAGATTTCTTGAATGCAACAGACACAAGAAATCTGTACAAATCAGGGAGCAATTTACAGCTGGAAAACTTATGAAATCTGTTTCAAATTCCTTTAAAGGCAGTGAGCATACTTTATATGAAAATAATTAAAAATCTTAAGGAGCAAAGTGTCTCAGGACACAAGACACTCCTCCCACTCCTGATGACTTTCTCTTTTGAAATGAACTGACTGTCTTCTCATGCTCCATGATGAGACAAAGAATTCAACTAAAACTAAAAACAAAGTAGAGTACTGCAATTAACAGCCCCCAAAATGGTTGCCTTGCTTGGAGCAGGGGCATGGGGGCACAATTTGCTCCCCCTCAGTAATCTTCGAGGCACACTGCTCGGCCGCAGTAGGCACCACCAGGGCGCTCAGCAGCTCGTGTTTCTGCTCGGGGAGGGAGTTCGTCAGCTTTTGATTTCGGTTTGCACCTCCGGTGCCCCACGAGCAGCTCCCGGCCATCTGCCGGGCACCTCCCCAGCACCATCCGAGCCGGCCGCAGGATGCCCGCTGGAGCAGCGAGAGCGGGCCTGCCGAGACTCACTGCTCCTTTGGAAAACAAGTCACGTGCAAAGCAAGTTCATTTTAGGCTATTCTACAGGAGCCACCATCCAGCACGACCGTGCAGAGCGGAGCCTGCGCTGGGGAGAACATCGCTGCCCCGGGACGAAGCAGGCCCAGCAGGGCACGGTGCCGGGTCCTCTCCGGAGCAGCCCTGGAAGAGCGGAGCAGAGCAAGCAGAGCTCCTGGGCAGGGGCCGGCAGTGTCCCCGTCAGACAGGCAGCCTCCCGCACGTACACAGCCGCTGCCCGAGCGGCAAACAAAGCTGCAGAGCCTGCGCACAGCAGCGCTCGGCTCGTGCCATCGCAGCGCAGGTAGCGGCTGCGGGGCAACAACAAACCCGAGCGGCGGATGGGCGACAACCGGGACAAACAACCACCGAGCCGCGCAGCCCGGCCGATCTGCGTGCGGCCGCCGGGCGGAAGGGCTGGCGAGCCGGCGGGGCAGCACAGCCCGCGGGGAGGTCAAGCTCGCTCCGGCACCTTGTCAGCCCGTAGCTCCCGGAGAGGCCGGAGGGCGGGCGGAGTGTCCCCCCCGCCGCCCCGCACACGCTCCCCGCCCCGGAGCCCAGCGCGCCGCAACCGGAGGCTGCATCTGCTCGGGCTGCCATGGGGGAGGCGGCCGGCTCGCTGCCTGCGGTTTATAAATGAATGCCGGGGGGGAAATTAGGTGCCATGCAAAGAGAAATCTGGGTGGCGATTATGGTGTTAAGGTCTGCAGCAGAAGCCGCTGTTCGGCGAGCGCGGAGCAGAAGGAGCGATGAGGGCGGATGGGTCTGAAGTGCAGTGAGTACTAAGGAGATGGTGTACGCGTGGCAGTGTTTATATGAGAGATCAAAACAGAGCCAAGCCCATCCAGGGGAAAAATGGCGACTACCGGGATGGGGAAAACTGAGACACTGGATTAGTTATTATTTTTCATAAATGTATGCACTGCACATAAGCTAGACACAGTGGAAAAGCTGACGATTCATTCTGAAAAAGCGGTGCGTCTATTACCTGTTATTCTGGGATTTTCTGGCCATGGTGCCTGCCTTTGTTTTCTTTCTGGAATAGTCACTATCGAAGGGTAACACTGATGCATAGCCATGTTCTGCTTCTAGGGACAAAGTCAGCATTAGTGGCAATATATTTTTTCCATGCAATTTTTTCCTCCTTTGCAGGAACGCTAGGGTAAAGAACAGAATTTTTTCCGGTTGATTTGTTTGTATTTTATTCTGGCATCTCTTAAAGAAGCGAAACAAAAAAAAAAAACATAACTCGGTAAACCAAAGGGGTAAAAAAACCAACACCGAAGTGTCGAAATTAGGATTATTGGAGTGCACATTAAAAACGAGGCGGATCATGCAAACCCTTGTCACGCTGCGCTGGGGGAGGGGAGCTGCCATACAATCACCGACTGCCACACACGGAGCGGCGAGAGGGATCCTGAGCGCTGCCACACGCACCGTCCCCATCCAGGGCGGCACAAACAATCCCCTTCGGGCTCGCTTGGGGGGTTATAGATTAAAAAAAGCCAAGATCCGAGCAGCGATGCTCCCCCAGCGCGGTGCCGCTGGCGCAGCCCGGGTCCCCCCCGGGCAGGTGCGGGCTCGGGGCCGCTGCCCCGGCCCGGCCGCCGCACAACAAAGGCCGAGAGCGGCTGGAAGCGCCTGCGGGTGCCTGACCGACTGCCCGCCTGCGCCCTGTACCTCGGTCTCTTCGCTCCAAGTACTCGGCCGCTTCCAGGAGGATTAACAGGGAGTTCAATTCCATGGCTGCCCGTCCCGAGCCCCCCGCGCCGAGTTCACGCGCGGGGACTCCCGAGCCCCCGGTTTTAAGGCACCTACATTTGACACACAGCGGACGGGCAGCCCGCGCGGCCAATGGCGAGCGGCAGACGGGCACGGGGCGGGACGTAACGAGGCGGCCTGACCAATCGGCGGCCAGAGCCCCCCCCCGTCCGGGCAGGGGATGTTGACAGATCCCCGCCGCCCGCGCCCATTGGCTGCCCGTGTAGTAACAATTTAGAAGCCGAAGCTTAGCAACAGCACGTGGTGGCCCGGCCCCCTCGCCCGCTCATTGGTCAGTTTCTTGCATGTTAAGAAGGCAGCTGCCGCTCATTGGTGCGCGGGGCGTCATGCAAATGAGGGCGGGGAAGGGGGCCAATGGGGAGGGAGGCGCGTGCCGCGCGGCGGGAGGCGGGGAGCGAGGCGCGGACAGCCAATGGGAAGGAGGGGGCGTGGCGTTGCCGTGAGGAAGAAGTAGGCGGAGGGCGGGGCCGGCGGAAGCTCCGCCCCCTCACACGCGCCGGGTGGGACGCGCTGGGCGGGCACGGGGGAAGCGTGAGGGAAAACGGGAAAAAGGGACAGTGAGGCGGCGGAGCAGCCCCGAAGGGAAAGTATGGCAGGAGGGGAGCGGGGACCAAAGAGGCGATGCAAACAGGACGCCGGAGAGGCTATGAAAATGTGCCTGGCACGTGCATCCGTGACCCCTTGCGGTGTTCAGGCGAGAGAGGAAGACGGCAGCGCTGTAAAAACACGCACAGCGATGTAAGAAAATTACTAAACTGCACACAATGGCCTAACCTGCTGAAAAAGAGAAACAGTGGAAAGCTCTCAGAAATGCAGCCAGAGTTCCTGCCAGCCTTCCAGCCCTTGCCAGCATATTCAGCTGCCTCTCGTCATCTGGATACACAGAAGCCGTGTACCAGAATAGCCTGGCTCCCGGCGCACAGGCTGAGCAGGAAGAGCTCAGCACCTTTCCTGTCCACACCATCCTATTTGCACTGCTAACTCTGCATCCTTATCTCAGATAGCTGCTGCACAGCTGCTGCCTAAAACTGGTTGGTTTTAACACGAGCAAGTGTAGTTTTAAAATAGGCATATTTTAAGCTGTGCTGTGATCACACATTGGTACATCTTCAGGCCAGAAGTGCTGAAGCCTGTGAGCAAGTCCTTCTGCAGGATTGCACTTGGGCACACAAATTATTCCCATTGGTTTTAATTGAACTGTTTAGGCAAAAGCTATCCAGAATACAGGATGGATGCAGAGTGTTGTCCTGTGTGTTTATTCCTTGGCAAAATATGTCAGCCAGAGTTTCCTTTTAAAAGGATAATAGTGATTCAGATTAAAACAAGGATTATGGTTTACTGCTTTTACAGCATTGTGGTAAAGCCACATATACATTACACCTGATCTTGTATTAGTCTGCATCTTGTTGCCCCAGATGCACAAGTGTAATGTAGCTCTTGAGCATTAGTGAAACACAGGTCACATTTTACTGCCATTTGGTCCAGGGATAAGAGAAAATACAAGGCAATGAAGAAAGCATCATTGTGTTTGTAGTTTAAGAGAATTTTTTTATCTGTTTGGGAAAAGCCTGACTTTGAATTATAAGGTAGGAGAGAATTTGGTGCATAGATTGCAGAGGTAAAAAAAATTTGCTGTAACATTTTCCACTTGCTGCTTGAACTGTTGAAATCCTGCTGCAAGTGGGTGAGACAGTACAGTTTTTACTGTAAACCCATTGAACCTTACGGCAGTTTTGCTGTTAACTGGAAGTAGGTTTAGACACTATTTGACATTGCCTTCTGTTACGAAACAGCATGAAACCATATAAGCACAGGTCTGCTTTGTCCACACAGGAAAGAAAGTTCCCTTTGCCTGACCACATGCATAGGGCACTTAGTGAGGAAGATGCAAAGATGCACAGATAAGGCATCGTTGTTCTATACTGCATCCACAGCAGTACCTCAGATCTTCAGAACACCTATATTTGTATGTTTGTATATTTGTATACAGGTCTAAATGATCTTAAACTGTTTTGTACACATGCTGTGGAATCAGTCATAGATCCAGAAAGGCAGATGAATGTGCTGGGTATGTAAATGCTTGTGTGAAAGCCCAGGATTCAGGTACGGATTCACTGAGGCTCTGAATGCTGAAAGCTCTGCCCCACTACACTGTAAGCACACAATTTTACCTGGGAAAAAACTCTGGAAACACAGGGGTATAACAAATACTGCACAAGACAGTACTTCAGGAAGGTACAAGGCCAGAGCTGAGCACCCTGCCAAGCACTGCCCTCACCAGACACTCCTCGGAGCTTGGACTGATCCGACTGCTGAGCTAAAGCCACCCTCAGCCTCCCCTGCACTCCCTGGTACCCAAACTCAGCACCTCTAACCACTCCAGAGGTAAAAACCATTGCTCTCTCTGCTTTCAAATGTGGACAGAAGTATTTGGAAGACAGTTGTTGTAAGGAGATGGAGGGCAATTTCACTTTGATATTGGCACTTACCAGGGCCTTCTGCCTCCACACTTCCCTGCATGGAAGGGTTGCTTTGGTAAATGAGGAACCACTGAATCTAGATGGACTGTGTCTAGGAAAGTGTTGTGCAAAACAGGGGCCAGTGCCATCACAAAAGGCACCTGATCTCTGATCCTGGTGGCTGTCAGCCTCAGGAGCCATAAACTGTATTAGTCTGCTGGAACTGTAAGCGTGTATGTAATCCCACACACTCACAGAGCCTCTGTTGATGAAATCCGGGGTAAATCCTATATCCTAAATACCTAAATACCTAACAACCACTGACACACATTTACCCATAGTTGCATTGAAGAAGCAACACAGCAACAACGTGTTAGTGCTGAGAAGTTTTATCAAGATTATTTCTCCTAGGGATGAACTCAACTGAGTCCTTCTGAGGAGACACAATAAAAGTTTTTAAAATTCCTAGAAGGAATCATTCTGGATCTGGTTTTATTTGTGCCAGGGAACCAGGACTAGTTTTGGTGGTGTCAGTGTGGGTGCAGAAGTGTAAAATGGGTGTGAAATAAGATCAACTAAATTACTGTAAGAACTGAAGGACAAGCTCTAAGATAGACGTGTGCTCGAAGGCTTTGCTGATTCGTGTCTCTAAATAGCTTTCTTCCATTTCTACAAGCAAGCAGCAGGAACAGCTGGGTGCTAAAGAAACAGCTGGCCTTCAGTGATAAGGGGTAGCTGTCACTTAATGGTCAAGTTTGAAAAACTTTATATTTAGAAGCAGAAGGGAGAGCCATCAGCAGACACACCCTAAAACCTGATCTGTTTGGCAGTTTCTTTGCTGCCTGCACTTGGTGATTGAATGGTAATATTTACAATTTTAAATGTTACAGTGTCTTTCTTTTCCAAAATCCGTCCTGTGGCATGACTTGGTGTGTAAGATCAGTGACATCAGAACTGTTGACTGCCCCAAGCTGTGGTGAGGGCAGAGATCTGAAGCTGATGATCAATAATTCAAGAAGCTTCATTCAGTATTTCCCATGTATGGCCTTAAAGAAATAATTAGGCCTACTCTGCTTTTCAGATTTGGCTCATTGTATCTACTGCATGTGTCTTATCTTTTAAAATTCCATACTACATCATATTCCTGTGTCCAGAAGTAAGCCCTTCACTGTGCCTTGGACTCCATCCCTCTGTTTTCTTGGGTGTTGCAAGGTTTAATTAGCAAAGACTAACTCGTTTGCCCACATAGGAGGGGATTTGACTCAGAGCTGGCACTGATAAGTTTCATCTCCCTGACTCAGTATCTCAAATTCCATTTAATTCCTCATCTTACCTGTGATTCAGATCATGAACTCTCTTTCCTAGATACAGAAACCAAAACACCTGAAAGCTGAAGGTGGAATTTTGGAGGAAGTTTCAAAAGCAGCAATTTTGTCAGTGCCCAAGCCCAGTTTGAGATGCTGATTCTATTTACTCTGCTAAGTAGAACAGTTCTCCACCCCAATCTCAAATGGCAGGTGTCACTGCATCTGCCTGGCCCTGTATCTAGACTGCTACTGGTGCACACGTGGCTTTTAGTCATCACTTCATTTTATGTGTGGTTTGGTTTTAGTTTGGGGTGGTTTCTCTAAGTTCAAAGTGCCTGAAGATAGGTGGCAGCCCATCAGAGAGCTGCTTTCAGACCTTATAGCTGAGGTTACATGACATGAAGGTATGTGGGGTGTTGGGGTTAGCGAGCTGCTGCTGCAGTGTTTGAGGGACTGTGTCCTGTGCAGGAGTCATGTCTGCAATCTCACCCCATGAGCTTTCTGGGCTGGTCCTCGACCTGTCATAGCCCTTGAGCTTGGCTTGGAGAAGAGCTTGGTCCAAGGATCACAACAACAAGTAGTATGGATGCTGTGGATTCCTGTGGACTTGAGTGGCTTCTGTGCTTTTGGTGGGCTCTCTGTGTGAAGCTCGCTAGCCCAGCTTGGTGCCTGGCCTTGACCAGTTGTTTGCTACCATGTTCGAATTGCCAGCTTTCCCAAAGCGATTGTATTTTTCCTGATTTTCCTTGGGATTTAGCATGAGTTTATGTAATACTATGGTACAGACATGCTTGAAAGCCAAATCTAAAAAGAAAAAGTACTTCAAACTGAGTGCCAGTCCCTTGTAACGTTCTTTTTGTGTTAAATGCTGTTATTATGAAAGACAACATTTGTGTCTTAGTGTCCTTGAGAGTTTGGCTGCAGGGAACTCGCATGCCCCTGTCCACCAGCACTCCCTGACCAGCAAGATGTGCAGAGCCCTGACACCAGGACCTGCAGACATTCCTGTGAGCAGACATGAAATTATTCTTAACTGATTGAAGTGAAGCATAGATTGAAAAGCTTGAGAGACACTGCTTTACTCCATCATCCTGCTCTGCCTAAACCATGCCTGGCATTTTTAGACAACATCATCCCCAAAATTCCCTCTGACACTGCCACACAAAGTGCTTTACAGAAGGCAGTGGTATCACTGCTTTCATTTTAAAAGACAAAAAAATGAAGCAGGGGCAAAACAACTGGCCAGTACCACTCAGCAAAGGCAGGGCAAAGGTTAGGAGGATGGCTGGGCATCCCAGTGCCCAGTCTGGCTTGTATGGCATTATGATATACTGCAGAGTAAGGATTTGTTATGTTATTTCAGATCTGAATCTCAGAGATGTCATGGCCTTATTACATTCCCTTG